TTTCCCAATTCGAACGTTTACTATGCTAAAAACGGGCCTCAATCTTCGACTTCAAATCTGGAATATAACTTGAGTGATTGAAAAATGATTTTCGTAACATTTTGTCCATATTCCATTCTTTTTTAAGTTCTAATTCTATCCAATTGTCTCCTAGCAATACTCAAAGTATCGTCTTGTGGTTTGAATTAACTCTTGAATATTTGCAATTTTGTCCTCAAACATTGGACTTTGTCCTTTTTCCTTGATTTTTGTTTTCTTTCTTCAAAATCCCCTTTCAACCATTGTGTTTCACATACATAAAATAAAATATGACAATTTAGGATACATTTTGTCTAAAGAATAAGAGTACAAAATACACTTATCAAATACCACCAAACTTAAATATTCGTTTATTCTCAAACAAAACTATAACCTAAATAACAACAAAAACACAATTATGGAAAAATATTTGGTTAGACAATATAGCTTTTACCTCAAAATTTCAAGTCATCATACTAAATCTACAAACTATTTCAAAGTCCCAATACCAAATCAATATCCACGCTACCACTGCAAAATACGTTGGAAAGCTAACTCAAAAAGGATACAACTTTACTAGAAATATAAATTTCCCAATTCGGACTTTTACTATGCCAAAATCAGGTCTCAATATTCGAGTAAAAATTTGGAATATAACTTGTGTGATTGAAAATTAATTTTGATCATATTCCATTCCTTTTTAAATTGTAATTCTATCCAATTGTTTCCTAGCAATATTCAAAGTATTGCCATGTGGTCCGAATTAACTATTGAATATTAGCAATTTGGTTTTCAAACTTTGGAGTTTGTTCTTTTTCCTTGATTTTCTTTTGTTTTCTCCAATTCCTTGTTCAACCATTGAATTTTACCTATATAATATAAAATACAACAATTTAGGATACATTTTGTCAAAAAAACTACAAATATCGATATTTTAGGCTCTGGAATAAGTGTATAAAATACACTTATCAAATACCACTAAACTTAGACATTTGTTTACCCTCAAACAAAATTACAACCTAAATAACAACAAACACACAAGCATGTAAATATATTTGGTTAGATAATCTAACTTTTAACTCATGATTTGAAGTTACCATACTAAATCTACAAACTGTTTCAAAGTCACAATATCAAATCAAGATCCACTCTTCCACTGCAAAATGCGTTGGAAAAGCTAACTCAAATGAATACAACTTTACTAGAGATATAATTGTCCCAATTCGGACATTTACTATGACAAAAATGAGTTTCAATCTTCTACTAAAAATTTGGAATATAACTTGTGAGTGAAATTTGTTTTTGATAATATTTTGATCTTATTCCTTTTCTTTCTGAGTTCTAATTATATCCAAATGTCTTCTATCAATATTCGAAGTATCGTCTTGTGGCCAAAATTAACTATTGGATATTTGCAATTTGGTCATCAAACNGATCCGAATCAACTATTGAATTTGCGATTTGGTCCTTAAACTTTGGATTTTGCCATCTTTTACTAATTTTCGCCTCTTTCTTTCCATTCCTTGTTCAACCATTGAGTTTTACCTATATAACATAAAATACAATAATTTAAGATATATTTTGTCAAAAGAACACCAAATATTGATATTTTAGGCCCAAAATAAGTGTATAAAATACACTTATCAAATACCACCAAATTTAAACATTCGTTTATTCTCCCACAAAACTATAACCTAAATAACAACAAACACATAAGCATACAAAAATAGGTTAGATAATCTAGCTTTTACCTCAAGATTCAAAGTAACCATATTACATCTACAAAGTGTTTCAAAGTCACAATACCAAATCAATATCAACTCTTCCAATGCAAAATTTTTACAATTCAAATGTTTACTATGCCAAAAATGGATCTCAATCTTCGACTAAAAATCTGGAATATAACTTGTGTGGTTAAAAATTGATTTTGATAATATTTTGATCATATTCCATTCCTTTTTTGAGTTATAATTCTATCCAATTGTCTCATCGCAATATTCAAAGATTGTCTTGTGGCCAAAATTAACTATTGAATATTTGCAATTTGGTCATCAAACTTTAAATTGTCTGTTTTTCTTGATTTTTCTTTTGTTTCTTCCAGTTCCTCGTTCAACCATTGAGTTTTACTTACATAACATAAAATACAATAATTTAAGATATATTATGTCAAAAGAACCACCAAATATCGATATTTTAGGCCGAAAATAAGTGTATAAAATACACTTAGTGTGTGTTTGGTAGGGATTTTTTGGGGGAAGAATTGATTTTGAATAGTGATATGATGGGAAATGTGTGGTTGAAAAAGAAGATAAGATTATTGATGTGATAGAAAATATTACTTTATTGAAAAATGTGTGGTTGAAAATAAGAATTGATTTACTGTTGAAAATGAAAATTTGTACCAAACATAGCCTTATCAAATACCACCAAACTTAAACATTCGTTTATTCTCCCACAAAACTACAACCTGAATAACGACAAACACACAAGCATGTGAAAAATATTTGGTTAAATAATCTAGCTTTTACCTCAAGATTCAAAGTAACCATATTACATCTACAAAGTGTTTCAAAGTCACAATACCAAATCAATATCAACTCTTCCAAAGCAAAATTTTTACAATTCAAATGTTTACTATGCCAAAAATGGATCTCAATCTTCGACTAAAAATCTGGAATATAACTTGTGTGGTTAAAAATTGATTTTGATAATATTTTGATCATATTCCATTCCTTTTTTGAGTTATAATTCTATCCAATTGTCTCATCGCAATATTCAAAGATTGTCTTGTGGTCAGAATTAACTATTGAATATTTGCAATTTGGTCATCAAACTTTGGACTGCCTTTTTTTCTTGATTTTTCTTTTGTTTCTTCCAGTTCCTCGTTCAACCATTAAGTTTTATTTACATGACATAAAATACAACAATTTAAGATATATTTTGTCAAAAGAACCACCAAATATTGATATTTTAGGCTCACCCTTTAAGTTAGCTTTCCAACGAATTTTAAATTATTCAATTTGGTTCCTAGATTTTGTCCCTCGTCCAACTTGAGTCCTTTATGATTCGAATCTTTAATCCTTCATTTTCTATTCTTCATAATCAGACCGTCATCATTCTGAAATCATTCACAGTGGATCGGATGCAAGTTTTTAAAGTTCATAATTTAGTCACCAAACTTTTTAAGTATTGAATTTAACTTCTCATCTAACTGCTCCATTAATACTTCTAATTGGCGTGCATCTGGTTGATCTTCAAGTGCTTCAAATCATTTTAATCATGCTCCAATTTTACAAATTTCAATTATACAAGGGCATCCATATTGGAGTTTTACTTCAATGAACATATTTTACACAAGTAGATATCCACTTGATTAACCATAAATAATTACCTAAATAAGTTCTAAATAAGTTCATAATGAGCACTTATCAGAGGGTGACCCAAAATCTAATCTCAGCAGCAGAACTGTCCCTGAGTGCTCTAATTTCTACTGGTATCTCACAACTCTCTGTACTGGTTAACTGTGGTATTTGTCACTTTCTTCCTAGAGATAGGAATAGGGTGGCCCACTATACAGTTGCCTTCGTTGCGTTTTCCCCTTCCCATGTCCTCTGGACAGAATGCATTTCCCAATTTTATTTCTTCACTTGTTCGTGTTGGTGTGATCGATAAAGTGGTTGCTTTGCCTTATCAAAAAATAAAATAAAATCAAAGAAATAAAAAATAACAATAAAATAAAAATATCAAAACTGATGTTACAGCATTCAAGTATGTTTTTTGTCCTAATTAACAGCCCTGGACGGACTAGGCCATGATTGAAGCAGAGACATTAGCATTATTTAAGTAGATATATTAACAAATGACATATTAGATATATACTCCGATTGAATAAAACTAAACAGGTTAATGAACTGATTAGGCCGGATATCCTCTAACATTTTTTACACATACTCCTTGAACCTTAAATCAATAGACACTAACATATGAGAGGTCGATATGTAGAAACTCTAATTTTATTTCAATGAGAGCACTCAATTCACATAAAAGAAAAATATACACTCAAGAACTCACAAATTTATAAATGTTTGTTGAGACTATGGCCTCTTCCTCCACCGTTTTAATTCACTATGAAAAAAAAAAAGTACTAGAGAAAATTGCACATCTTCAGAGAATTCATGCATATCAATATATAAATAATGTTAAAACAATAAATAAATACGAATTTCACGTACACCTTCTGCCGCTAATATATGCATCTTCAGCTGAGGATCTGTCCATGCCAAGAGTTTAGATTATCGCATTGAATGGAAAGTGACTCCCTCAGATCAGAGTGATCGAAAGCCTCAAGTATGGTAAGTGATATTGCCAAAACTAATTTAGCATTTCGTGAAAATGATGAAAAGTTATATTGAAGAATTCTTTAAATATGATTGAGATGATGGGCGAATATAGCCGGATAATGCAAGAACATAAATTCAAGAAATGGTAAAGCATAATCTATGTAATTAACATGTTGGATAGACTTGTATAATGCCATGGAGAAATCCAATATCCCAATTATGCCTAGAAGCAAGCAATACTAAAACCCAAAACATGAAGCATTCACGAGTGCATAACTTATCAAAATATGAATATGAACAATTGCAGGTTATAAACAGTTACAAATTTGTTGATTTACAGCTCATATTGCTCTGGCTTCAACTGTCCATATTCTGCCCAAGTGAAACTAGCAGTAGCGATATGACATGGTCGTGGTAACAAATTCGGGGTAGCGACCATTTAGTCAGACAAAAAATCATCGCGGTCAGTTTCTGCCATTGTAATGGAAACCGTTCTATTCCCAGAGCTTTCATTTTTATGTTTTGGCAGTCTGTTTTCACTTTGTTCTTCATCACTCAGGTATTCTGGCTCAGAAACATTCAGAAATCTATCCAAGTTCCTATATCCTTTATTGTTGTTTATAACAGAAAATTTGGATCGTTTCTGGCAGATGCAGGCAGATGGATATTCATGAAACTCTCCCCTTCCTGGTCTCATCTCTTCAGGTTCTCCCATGAATCCTCTTTGGCATGATTTCACCTTTCTAGCAAAGGTGCTCCAATCCATCTTATCTCGTGCTGTGAACAAAGCACTAAGCCTTTTGGCATTTGGTCTGATGGTTCTCTTGTGACCTGCATACCTCCTTCAACAAGGAAACAACATAGTAAGTTCGTGTCCTTGGTCCAAGTAATAGGGGACAAATAAATTCCCAAACTATGGAAACCATAATTCGTATTGACAATGAGAATTCCGATGGCTATTATGGTAATGCAGGAATAAATTCGAGGAGGAAATGTTAAAATTTCTATTCCGTGGAAAAAGGGGAAACTGCTACAGTTATTTTTCAGGAAGCCAATGATGTGGAAAATCATAGTCATAGAGCAGCACACTTCAACAAAACTTACATTGGCACCAGTTTGAAACTTTTCAGTCGAACGGAAAACTAAATATATGCAACATTATCAGCAAAATAGGAGTCATATTGACAAATATAGGGAGTATCATACATCATTGGAAAAAAGTTTGAATTCTTCTTTTGCATACCTACAAAGTGGCAATGTTTACCATTTTCCATGTGAGACATTACGTTGTTTTAAGGCATCTTCCATGGTTAAGTAAATCACTTGCAATATTAATTCTCCCCCAAAAAGGCAAGCTAGAGATATTTTCTCGTGTTCTCAATTTCATTACCTTCAACTCATGGTTGTTATATTCTCAAAACTTCATATATTATTTAAGGAGATTGATGAAAAATTACTTTACTTCAACCGTAAGAGCAGCAACAAAATATGGGTATTCATCTGTGAAGTGATATTACTAGTCACACATCCTCGTAGACAGTCGTATTAAAACAGTGATCCTGAATCTGGAACCTTACACCAGCTAAACTTCATCAATAATACACTTTCAATTACCATACTGACAATCCTCTTCACCTATACACATATATGCCCTTCCTATTCTGCTCTTACATCCACCAGTACTTCGAGTTGGTAATGGAATTAACTGATACACTACAATCTATCTGGTTCGACCATTCCACATTTTTCAAGTAGAACTAAATTGGCAATGGCCAGATAGTTTAAAAATAATCACATTTACAACAATGATTCCATGCTGGATGGGGGAAGCACTACAGATGTTAGTAAGTGCTCTTTATTAAAATCACTTCTATCATGGACAACAGTATTGTGTGCTTTCTAACATTACATATCCCTTACGATTCCGGTATTAGCTTGCACGAACAAAACAAAATTATTTTCCAAACAGTTTTTGTATATATAAGTGTTTTATTTGCTTTCTACTCTTACATCACTCCTGTCATCTTGAAATTGATAGACTGCCTTCCTTATCCCTTCTCAAGTGATGGCCCCATAAATTAGCTAGCAAAATTCTAAGATTTACTAGAGTTTGCATCATCAATGTAAGAATTTGAAAAGAGCATTGTTTTGCTAAGAACTTACCTTCGACCAGCTAAGATTTTGGCCATGTTCCCATTATTATTAGTGACAAAGACATTGCTTTCATCACAGACAATGTAATCAATGGCAGCCATTCGAGAAGAAAATGGAAGAAAAGGTTTCAACTCTTCACCAGCAAGCATCTCCTTAGTGTAGAAGTTTGGAAAGAGCTCTCTGAGAGGCGCCAGAGTTTCTTCTCCACCATATATTTCTCCAGATGCAACATATATATATGTGTTATTTTCAAAACCAAGTGCCCGAAGCAACAAACCCACCTCATGTGGGGTCAGCGGGCACTTCCCTCGTGATCGCTCTTCATCAGCGCTTAATTCCTGAGTAACGAAGTAGAGAAAATTCTGCATCTTTCAGCTTCATAGTGTGATAAGATATTAAGATTACAACCCGAATGACTAGACATTCTGGATAATTGCATTTTGATTACTACTTTAACATAAAACAAGTTCAATACCATTTGTTCAAACCAGAGTCTCACCGGTAATGTTTCCCAACGCTTCCGTATCTCACCCAACTCGTATCTCTCTTTATCTCCCCCACCATAGTAACAGCCGGAAAATGCAAGCATATCAGGTTCAAACCTAGAATTTACAAAAATCAAGCAGTTGGCAAGAAATGAAATGTCTAAATCATCTTGAATATCATCGTATTGATAAAAAAAATAATAAAAAATTAAAAATTAAAACCTATATAATGCAAACATATAGACATTCAAGTGGAAAGGTATAACACACTTCTTGTGATAGATAAGAAGTCTGAACTGCATTTACCAAATGTGAATCAGTGCATGAGGCGTCCACCAATTAGGATTCTGAGGGAAAAGTAAAAGTAGGCTCAACCAAGAAAACAGCATGTTGAGAGACCTTTTTTGTGTGTCTCAGTGCTTTAGTTGTATTTCTTCATGAACAACTATAACATTGAGCTAATGTTCTCTTTGATTTGTTTGAAGAGAAATTGATTATATTATTTCTCGATAATTGTACAATGTAAAGACTTACAATTTATAATACAAAGAAAGTTGTAAAAATGGAAAATTCTAATCTCCTAAAACTGGTAAGAAATGAATCAATATAGTATACAACTATAATTATGGAAATGAGATATTATTCAATCCATCTAGCCCTTCTCTGTATTTAGTTTGATTCGAATTTCTACAGTCTCCCTCAAGTTGAATCGTATATGTTGATCATATACAACTTGCATATGAAATCATTGAAGTTTTGTCGAGGTAGTCCTTTGGTAAAGATATCTACAGTTTGTTGTTGTGTTGGGACATAGGTCATACAAATAGTCCGTTTCTCAACATTTTCTTTTATGAAGTGTCTGTCTACTTCTATATGCTTGGTGCAATCATGCTGAACTGAATTAAGAGAGATGTTAACTGATGCCTTGTTATCACAATAGATTTGGATAGGAAACTTTACTCCGACATGAAATTCTTTCAGAAGTTTTCACAACCACAGTCCTTCACATATTCCTTGTGCAACAGCTCTGAACTCAGATACAGCATTACTTTTGGCTACTATATTTTGTTTCTTACTTCTCCATGTTAAGAGGTTTCCTAACACTCGGTGCAATAACCAGTAGTTGATCTCCTCTCTTCTATTGAACCTGCCCAATCTGCACCTGTGAAGAATTCAACCTCCTTTCTTTCACTCTTCTTGAAAAATAGTCTTTTTTTCCCAAGGAGCCCTTGAGGTATCTTAGTATCTTTTAGATTGCTTCTAGGTGACTTTCCTTTGGAAAATGCATATGTTGGCTTACACGACTCAATGCGAATTCAATGTCAAGTCTAATGTGTGATAAGTAGATAAGGTTTCCAACTAGTCTTTGATATCTGTCTATTTCCACTGGATTTCCAACATCTTCAAGCTTCTTTCCCGCTTCCATAGGTGTATCACCTAGCTAGCAACCTAGCATGCCCGTTTCAGTTAGCAGGTCAAGAACATATTTTTGTTGTGAAACACTCATTCTTTTTTTCGATCTCACCACTTATATTCCCAAGAAGTACCGCATTTGTACAAGATCCTTTACCTCAAATTAGGTGGCTAGGCACTTCTTTAGTCTTTCAGTCTCCACTACATTGTCTCCTGTCAAAATTATATCGTCAACATATACAATTAGGATTGTCTTAGTCCTATCTTCAAATTGTTGGTGAAACATAGCGTGATTTGACTGCTCTTATCGATATCCTTGACCTTTCAACGCTTTCACAAATCTGTCAAACCATAACCTTTGGTGACTGTTTGAGCTCATATACAGATTTCTTGAGTCTACATACCTGATTTCCTTTATTTACCTTGTTGAATCTAGGTGAAAATGTCATAACTTCCTCTTATAATTGCCCGTTCAAAAATGCATTTTTAATGCCAACTTGTTGCAGTGGCCCATCCAAATTGGCAGCTAAGGACAATAGGTCTCGAATTGTATTCAGTTTTGCTACTAGTGCAAATTTTTCTGTGTAATCGATGCCCATAGGTTTGTGTGTATCCTTTTGCAACCAATCAAGTTTGATACCGTTCTATTGTCTTATCAGCTCTGTATTTCAAATTGAAGACCCATTTGCATCCAACTAGTTTCTTTCCTTTTGGTAGGTCCAATACCTCCCAAGTCTCATTTTTCTCCCGTACTCTCGTTTCTTCCAATACTGCTTCTATCCATTTAATTATTTCCAAGGCTTCTTTGATATTTCTTGGGATTTCTGTAGTGTCAAGATGAGATGTGAAAGTACGAAAATTTGTAGATAGATCATTATAAAACATTAACTTTGAAATAGAGTGGAGAGTACATGGCCGAGTTTGCTTTTTGAGAGCAATAGGTAAATTAGGGATTTTTGAAGCTTCAGAGGAGCTATCACCGGTTTTGACTCTTTTGGTCCTTCGGATGTGATGGTCTCTTTGTACTTTGATTTTAGCTTTTGTGAGTAAACTAGGATCTCTTTTAACATTTTGTTTTTCTACCTCTCCCTGGGGTTCAAGTTCTCTTCTATCAGTGGCATACTAGATGGTCGGATAAATTTGATTCTTAGTGTAAGTTCACGAGGAGTGAAATCTGGGAACCGATCTTCATGCAAAGCATTTCCCCGAAGAGTGGTTTTTTCGGAGTATTTTCAAAGAATGTGACATCAAAGTTTACAAAGTTCTTTTTCGTGGAGGGGTCGTAGCACTTGTAGCCTTTTTTAGTAGGGGAATACCCAATCAAAACACATTTAACTGCTCAAGGATCAAGTTTACTTCTGTGATGAGAGTGAACATGAACAAGTGCGGTACATCCAAACACTCGTAGGGATAGATTAGAGCTGAGGCGAGAGGTTGGATAAATTTTTTAAGTTTTTGGAGGGGTGATTTGAAGTTTAGAGTACGAATAGGCATTTTGTTGATTAGATAGGAAGATGTCAGGATAGCATCTCCTTAGAACATTTTTGGCATGTTAGTGTTGAAGATATGAAAAGAATAATTTCTATGATATTTTTCCAATAGTGTAGGATTATTTTCCTTAATAGTTGATTGTATAATTATTATGCAATCTTTCCTTTTATAATTATTTATAGCTTTATAAATAGGGTCTTTTACTTGTAATAGAAACAAAGTTTATTATATACAATTTATAATATTCTTCACATGGTATTAGAGTAGTTTCGATCCTAAACAAATTAACATTTGAATTTCGTTTCCGGCGAAGCCACTTGTCCGGCTACCAATGTTGTTTTTCTTTTTTTATTGGGCTGTTGGAGTAATTGGGCCAATTATTTAATTGATTTGATTTTACTGTGGAATATATGGTTTTGTTTTCGGAGTTGGGCATTTTCTCCTCTTAAGTTTGTTTGGAGTTTCTTCAGCTTTTGGTAATCTGGAATTTGTCCATGGAATTGACAAGCCAGGCAGGCACCATCGAGTTCTCCTACTTCCATTTTTGAAGTAGAGCAGCGTTAGTTGAGGCAGGAATCTTGGTTTCTCGATAATTGTACAATGTAAAGAGTTACAATTTATAATACAAAGAAAGTCGTAAAAAATGAAAATTCTGATATCCTAAAACTAGTAAGAAATCAATCAATGTAGTAAACAACTCTAATTATGGAAATGAGATATTCTTCAATCAATCCAGCCCTTCTCTGTATTTGGTTTGATTCGGATTTCCATATTGTTATTTTAGAACAATTAGCATATAGAATAAGGAATAAGATCCCCAAAGTAATATGTTATTGGCAAAACTTCTCTACTGGTGCTTATATACATTATATGCAGATACCGAATCGAATTTGGAATGTGCATGTATGCATTGTTGGCATATGGAAGTCGGAAAAGTTACTATATTCTTAATGAAAAAAATCCGTGCTACATAATACAAAGTGGGATTTTACCAATAACGTTCAGTGGTATCATCCCCTATATAACCAAAAGCTTAGGTTTTTTCATTAACTACATCAAGCCAGGTTAGTTTTCAGTTCACTTCTGGCTTTCACATGGCCACTTGCAACTCTTCCCCCTTCGTCCATGTAGGTAAGCATATCTTGCCATATTTTATTTGTCATGCAAAAGTTCTGTTTTTGCTATTCCATCAAAATTTCATTTGGATTAGCAAAATTTCATTTGGACTTAACCTGCATTCCTTTATCTTGATTTTGTTAAAGAAAATTTTCAAGTGGTTGGATATGAGATCAGAAAATACTAAAATATATACATTAGCAAAATAACAGATGCTGCATAAGCATTGAACAAGCCTACAATAAAAGAACGAAAGCCTAAGCCGTAATAGCTAAATAATATGAACATTTGGGCAGAGAAGTTGGTATCAATTTTTTTGGAATCATTAGTAGCTGGAAAACTTGCTTCATGCGTTAACTAAAACCTCAAATCTTATATATGTAATATCTTAACAATATGTATTTACTCTTAGCTCTAATTAAAAATATATTCTTTGCAAAAATAATGAGTTTTCCTCTCATTTAGTATATAGCTTAGATGTTGACAATGCAAATATCAATTTTTAATATAAACATCTAATAAATTCAGTTAAAATTAGGGCTGAATTTTGAATTGAATTCGACGAAATTAATGGGAGATGGATTTAGGGTCTCAGTCCGACAACCCGATCAAGATCCGAATCCGATAATCTGTTAACTAAATGGATCAAATATGGATATAGGTCAATCCGATCCGATTTTTTATAAATAATTGAGTAGGTAAAATATTTTTATAGTATATTATTTGTCACTAAAATAAATAAAAAAATTTAGAATAAAAAAATAATCAAA